TCCTGGTCTGCATGGGCTGGCCTTCCACACTCCATTCAAGTTGACCGCGGCAAAGAGTTTATGGCCATCTTTGCGGACCACTTGAAGCAGTTCGGAGTTGAACAAGAAGTCATGCCTCTTGAAGCTCCATGGAAAGGTGGCAAATGTGAGAAAGCAGGCGACCTGTGGAAGGAACTATGGGCCAAAGTCGTTCATGAGTCACAGATTTCTGGACTTGATGATGTCTTGACTGCGACATCCATCGTGACTCAGACCCGAAATTCCTTCCCAAGAACCAGCGGCTACAGCCCCATTCAATGGTTCCTTGGAGTACCAGAACTTCGACTTCCTGGCTCCTTGCTCAATGATGAAGAGTCCCAAAGACTTGAAGTTCTTGAAGCTGCTGAGAATCCCGCCAGCCAGATGGCGAAAACACTTGCCATACGCGAGAGCGCCAAGATTGCCCAGATCAAGATGGACACTGATGCTCGTGTCAGAAGAGCGCTGCTGAGGCAATCAACGCCTGTGAGAGGCCCCTTCCCAGTTGGTTCCTACGTGTATTTCTACCGTGCCCAACAACTGCCTGGCACTTCTCGACAGTACAAATGGTTTGGGCCAGCTCGCGTGATTGGAGTCGAGCTGAGGAATCCACGCCGTCTTGAAGATGCAGACGTGCCAACTGAAGGAGGTGCCCCACACTCCTATTGGATTCGCTATGGGCCTAGTGTCATTTTGACCACTGGCGAGCAGATGAGGTTTGCAAGTGAGGACGAGCTTTTGGCCGCTCACACCGTGCCCCACTATGCTGTTGCAAACCTGCAGCTTCGAGGAGCCAGATCTTTCATCGACATCAGACCCTTGGGTGCTCCGCGACCAATGCAACAACATGCACAACATGAACAAGGACAACAACAACCAACACCTCACACATTCAACACAACATCATCATCTTCATCACCATCTCTTTTTCAACCTCCTCAACGAGCTCAACAACAACAAGCACAACAGGTACTTCCACCTGTGCCTGAGGATGAAGAGTTTGATTTGGAAGCAGCGATTGACGCTGCCGACACCGAGACTGCCAATGCGCCAATGACGCCACAGATTGCACTACAGCCTCAACCAGTTGAAGTACAAGCTCCCCAACAAGCCCACACTGGGCATTTGCGCCAGCGAACGGCTGAGGAACCTGAGCCCCAGCCAACAAGACCTGCGACACCAAGGCTTGTCGTGACTGAGCCAGCCAGATCAACGATACCAAGGCCACCTTTTGCTGCGCCTGGGACTCCCAGTTTGACCACTGCGATGCAACAACCTGATCTACTTGATGGTCATGGAACAGGCCCTGTTCGAGCCCTACGTCCAACAGCTCAAGCACGACTGCGTGAGTCTGGACCATACTATGTGGATGAGGAGCCCTGGGAGGAAGTCTGGCCTGGTATCAGCACTGCCGTGCAAAGACGTCGCCGACTTGAATTAGCTGGTGACCTTTCTGAAAGCTCTGAAGAGCTGGAGCCTGAGCAAGAAAGCAATCTGAACTATGCCTTCATGACCGGCAAGGCAGCCAAGTCAGAGATCAACATCAACAGCCTCAGCCCTGAAGACCGGAAGCTTTTTGACGCCTCCATGCTCAAGGAATGTACTTCATGGCAGAAGTATCAAGCAGTTGCTGAGCTGACGGAGGAAGAGATCCAATCGTTGCCACAGGACACCAAAGTCATTGGCACCAGGTGGGTTCATACTGACAAGAATAGCAAGCCAAGGCTCATTGCCCGGCACATGGCCAAGAAGACGGGAAAGACCAAAGAGCAGGTCGACAAGGAGTTCCCGTTCGAAGCCAAGTCACGGCTTGTTGTTCAAGGTTGTCAAGAGGATGAGCAGAACATACGCTCTGATTCACCAACATGTTCTTTGCTTGCTTTCAATTTGGTTTGCTGCATCTCCGTTTTGATGGGATGGATTGCAGCAGCATATGATGCCTCCACTGCATACCTCCAGAGTCATGGAATTGCCCGACTTCTGGTCCTGCGTGCACCTCGACCACCACCGCCTGGAGTTCAGCCAGGCACACTTTTCAGGGCTCGTGGTAGCATATATGGGACGAAAGATGCTGGCCGCAGTTGGTGGATTAAACTGCTTCATGATGCGAAGGAATGTGGATGGATCCTCTCCCAGATTGAACTAGCCCTCTTCTACCTCTACGATGAATCAACATCTCCACCTACTTTGATTGGGGTCATGGCAAGCCACGTTGATGATTTGATTACTTGTGGTTTTGGTGAAAAGTACGAAGAATGCATGAAGGAGCTCACCAAACGCCTTCACCTGAAGAAGAAGGACACGGAGTTTCGTTTTTGTGGAAAGGACTTAATCCAGCATGCTGACAAGTCGATCTCCCTGGAACAGGTCGATGCCATTGAAGGCCTGGAGTACCAGATGCTCGACAAGCACAGAAGAAAGTTTCCAAATCTGCCGCTCTCTGAAGAAGAAAAGAGCGAATTCAGAGCCTTGATTGGAAGTATGGGTTGGATAGCACGACAGACGAGGCCCGACGTTATGGTGAATGTCAGCCTTGCCTCACAGAGCATTGGCCACCCATGCATCAAGAATGTGATCGACCTCAACAAGGCCGTCAAGATGCTGAAGGATAGCGCGATGCCCAATGGTGCTTCAAACCTTCCAATCTCACTTTGGAAAACTGTGCTGTTTTTGTATGTGCTGATTCAAGTTTTGCAAACACAGAAGGTTTGCGATCACAGTGCGGATACCTGGTAGGCTTGACTTTGCCCTCCATCAAGGATGGCACCGAGACACCAGTCCTCATTTTGGAGGCGACATCTACATCAATCAAACGTGTTTGCCGTAGCACCCTGGCAGCTGAAGCGAACTCATTTCTTGCAGGTGTTGAAGCTGGAATTTACGTGGCTTCTCTCTTGCGAGAGATCATGCATCCCCATGTGCCGCTGACCACTCTCGAGACAGAGTATGCGCTCAAATCAGTACTGGCATTTACAGATGCGAAAAGTTTGCAGTCCACCGTTGCCAAGGATGCTGGACAGCCCACAGACAAGCGAGTGAAAATCTTGGTTGCGCAAGTGCGCGAGCTGATGCAGGAAGGCTGTGAGATCATGTGGATCGACACCAGCCAGATGCTTGCTGATGTTTTAACCAAGGTTGGATGTGAACGTGAATTGCTGCTGGAAGCTTTGTCCTCTGGAACATGGAAACTGGCTCCTACCGAAGAAGCGCTGAAAAAGAAGGAGCAGATCCGCGCCGGAAGACACCAGCGAAAGCAGCTCAAAAAGAGCCAATCTGCACCTGAGGACGGGTGAGAAAATCCAACTGTCCTTTCAGGTACTTCATGCTGCCACACATGTCCAGGTTCGATTGACCGCTGCATCTACTGGCCCGAAGGGCGCCCTTTCCGCTACAGGAAAAGACCGTTGCTTGCACCACGCCGCTGTGTGCTTTCTGACCATGTTTTTTTGGTTTACAAGGTAAAGATTGATATGGATTAATGTGGATTAATGTGGGTAAATCATCATGTTTTGATAATTTATGTTTTCCATTCATTTTCCAGAGCTATGTTCAATAGCCAGAGATGTTTTATGATTTTTAATACAAAGTAAGCTAGGTCCTTAGGTGCTGATGTTTCAATCAGGGGGTAGCAGTGCAGCCCAGAGGTACCCCAGGTAGCTGCCAAACACAGCATGTTGATCGGATGTTGTGGCCCACCGATCTCACCGTGGCTTCTTGCCCGAGATCATTTGTGTATGACATCTAGTATATACGTAATATGCGTGTATATATATTTATAGATCATATATATATATATATGCACAGTATGTGTATATATATATATATGTGTGTGTGTGCGTGTGTGTGTTTTTTATTGTTTGTTTCTGCATTTGGTTATTTATATGATTGTTGATTTACTTATTTGTTGTTGTTTTCTCTGAAAGTATACATACATATATACATACATACATACGTACGTACGTACACACATACATATACATACATACAGACTGACTGACTGACAGACATACATACATACATACATACATATAGTGCATTACATACATACATACATGCATGCATGCATACATACATACATACATACATACATATATTACATTACATATATTGCATTACATACATATATTACATTACATTACATTCATACATACATACATACATATATTACATTACATATATTGCATTACATACATATATTACATTACATTCATACATACATACATACATACATACAGACAGACAGACAGACAGATAGCACATTACATACATACATACATGCATGCATGCATGCATGCATGCATGCATGCATGCATGCATACATGCATACATGCATACATGCATACATGCATACATGCATTCATGCATACATGCATACATGCATACATGCATTCATGCATTCATGCATACATGAATACATGCATACATGCATACATGCATACATGCATGCATCCATACATCCATACATCCATACATCCATACATCCATACATCCATACATACATACATACATACATACTTACATACATACATACATACATACAGACACACACACATACACACATACACACAGACACACAGACACACAGACACACAGACACACAGACACACAGACACACAGACACACAGACACACAGACACACAGACACACACAGACACACACTGACACACTGACACACTGACACACTGACACACTGACACACTGACACACAGACACACAGACACACATACACGCAGACACGCAGACACGCAGACACGCAGACACGCAGACACACAGACACACAGACACACATACACACATACACACATATACACATATACACATATACACATTTACATATACGTATACATATATATATATACATATATATGTACATGTGACATGTGCACATACATATCCACCACCAAGACATCCAAATGAATGTGAGTGTAAATATTACATTGCTCCGATGATTCTAGTCAACCGTCCCTTTGATTTTGACCAAGGTGTTTCCCACGCGCTCACACACAGTTGCAGCTCAAGGCAGCCGTGTTTTCTGCTGATTTGATTTGGTAGAAATTCCAGATCTGAAATCAAGGTTACCTCACTGGGAATAATGGTTAGTAAAGGAAATCATCCCCAAAAAACTAGGTTAGTGAAATATCAGAATTTATTCAGAATAATGGCATTGCAAAACGCACTGATTTTACATTTTGCATACGGGTCAGGTAGATGGAGAGCTAGACGGGCAGGCTGACAGAGACATAGTCAGGTAGATAGACAGATAGATAGTCAGAATCAGTCAGGCAGATTGATAGAAAGACAGAATGATTGTCAGCATTAGTCAGTAGATATGTAGATAGATAGATAGATATATATATATATATATAGATTGATCGATCGATCGATAGATAGATAGATAGTGCGGAGTAGTCAGATAGATAGGTAGGTAGGTAGGTAGGTAGGATAGATTAATAGATAGACAGACAGATAGATAGATAGTCAGGATTAGTCAGGCAGATAGCTTAGACAGATACATTGAATGAACACCACATCTCCAGGCGGCATCAATGGCGCCTTGGCCAACATGACGGAGGACGATTGGCGCTGGCACGCCTATGACACCGTGAAGGGCGCAGACTGGTTGGGAGACCAGGACGCCATTCAGCACATGTGCCGTTTGGCACCCGAGGCACGGCCCCCCTTTGGCTTTATTTTAGCAGGGTTGTCGAGTTAGAACATTGCCAGTAGCAACGACTTGGGAAATTTGTTTTGCTTTGTTCCCCCAAAAAACGTTTAGGGTTGAATCAGGTCGAATTAGCTATAGGCTATATCCTCATTATTTTTCCACTTCTCACCTTTGATGCCAGCACCCACCATATCACCGGTTCAGCATGACCTCCCGAAACTGGCGGTTGAATCCTGGACCGCTGGCCGCCCATCCCTCAGGTCATTTTGGAGCTGGAATCCTTTGGTTTGCCCTTCAGCCGAACTCCGGAGGGCAAGATTTATCAACGTGCTTTTGGCGGGCAAAGCTTGAAATTTGGCAAAGGCGGGGTGCCGTTCCCCTGTACCCGGGAGCTACCTGGGTGCTCCTGCGTTTTTTGATGGCTTGTCAGATTCGATAGATAGATGGGATCGGATAGGATAGGATGAGATGAGATTACATAGGTATACATAGGTTAGATATGATATGATATGATTAGATACTGTAGACAGATAGACCGATAGCTAGCAAGGGGTAGCTAGATAGAAAGGTACAGTAGATAGGTAGATAGATGAATAAGAACAAAAAAAATATTGCTGTAGATTCGCTTAGATTAGATTATGATTAGACTACGTAGTTTTGATTCAATTAATTTATATAGAATTATATAGATAGTTATGTACAAATATATATTTATATATATATATATATACATAGGTTTGTACATTTGTATATCACGGTACCCGGTATATCCATAGCATTGAAGTATCCAATCCGGTGTCAATTGATTATTATTGATACATACACATGCAATCGCAAATATGTATGCATATATATATATACACACATACGTGCATCAATGTACATTATATAAATATATACTTATCACAGAGAAAGAGAAATACGGTACTTCTTGCTAGTTGCTAATTACTATTTGTCTATATCTAGAACCGATGACCGCAGGCCATTTTTGTACATTATATCGTTAAATGTATACACATATATATATATATTCTGCAATTCTGCAGCTATTTGCAGACCTTTAGACCATCGTTTTACTGTTTTTTTCACCTTTTTACATTTTGTTGAAAAATGCAAGCTTACATTTGAACGTCCCCCTAGGTTTTTTCGGACATTGCGGGAAAAAGGGGGGAACCTACTGATTTCAAATGAAAAAAACATGAAAGTTTGCAATTAGAACGTACTTTGAAAATAAATGAAAGTTAACAATTATTACCAGCCCTCCCTGAAATACGTCTAAATTGTAGCTTACATGTACGGTACGTCCCCCTATCTTAAAAGGGTAGTGATTTATATATAATATACACATATACATATTGTTTAATATATATATATATGTGTGTGTATACACATACATATATAATCGCTTATATATATATGTACAAATATGTGCAATAGAAGATCCCAAGATGCAGGTAATCTTTCACCGCTCCGCAGTCTTTTTGCTGATGGCGGTGCAGGCGGCCAGGCGTATCGTTGCGCGGCTGCCGCGGACCGCACAGGGCATGCCATTCTCCACACCTTGTATGGCATGGTGCCTTTGGCGAAATGCCATCGACTCCATGGGTTGAGAAGCCACCAATTTTGGGTCCATGGGGGGTCCTGCAGATTTTCCAATTCAGGGAATGGCGTCAAACTTGCTACTCGTAGCTCTTGAGCTCCTTGGGTATTTCCAAAAGATATGGAGAGGTGAACTCGGACCATTCAAAAATGTGGAAAGAAGCAAACGCATCCGGTATACAACTTCCTAAAATGGGAAAGTCCACTTCGAACACTACTAGATGTAAGAAAGTTGTGATTGCATTGGTGCCGAGTGTTGAGTCAGAATCTGCAGTCAGCAACACGGGAAACTCCACCCTAAGCTCAACTGCCTGCGACCAGGCACGGTCCGCCTTGAACCACAGATCCCCCCTAGTCACAAGATCACATCCCAACAAGCACACAATATTCCCAGGAAACCATCATGGAGCATCATGAAGCCACCAAGAAACAGTTAGGGATGTTAGGGCAATCAGTTTGCGGATATGGTTTGGTCATTTTTTGAGAGTCTAGTCATTGTTTGTGGGAAATGCACCCATAGTTATCCATGATTCATGATCAGTTGATGCCTGATGTATCCAGTCACAAGGCGCTGAAATTTGACTGCCTCTTCTTCGTGGAATACTTTGCCATGGACTTGATCATGAGTTTCACGGCACTGGCGGAGACCTGGGTCCCGTGATGTCCCATGTCATGTTGCTGTGGACCATGATACTCTGAGGTAAGTTGTTACAGTTTGCTATGGAAAATTGACCTTTCATGGAGGATTTTCATGGATTTACCATTATTTACCTATTACAGTAAACATTGCAATTTTCATCAATTTTCCACAGCTATGTTCAATTACCAGAGGATATTCAAGTACGCTCCCGCTTCCAGTGGTGGCTATTTGAAGTATGGGCCGTATGGGGCGCTTACAGCATGGTGAACCATGCATGGTGATTCCCCATGCGTTTTCCTCAAGGGATTCCCGTTGTCATTGGGATGTTTGATTATTGAAAAAATCTCAGGACCTTGCACGGGAACCCCACGCAACAGCCATAAGACGTTATAAGTTATAAGTTCTCATTTTCATCCTCTCATCCTTCATCCCCATTGTGGTTGGTTTACTGCTTCGCGGCTGGGCCAGTTCAGCGGACCCTGGGGAGAAACCTTGAGAAAAAGGTGCCTTCAATTCAAATGATTTAGTAACTAAATATATATATTTACTATTAGTGTCTATTAGTGGTAGTATACTACTATTGGTGTTACTATGTTCATTACTGCATTATGATTGTTATTTTGCATACTTGTGTTATATGCTGTGTATATATATATAATATAATATACGCGTATATATGTATGTGTATATATGTATGTATATATACAAATATATATATATATGTATTATAAACATATATACAAATGTGTGTGTGTGCGCATGTGTGTGTGCCACGGACTCATCATCATGGACCCATCGTTTCCAAGAAACTACGCCCAGGTGATGACGGGAAATGCTTGGGTTGCGTGGCCATGCGCCTCGGCTTTCGCGCCAGTGATACACCGTGGAAGATCCGGGTGGCTTCGTCTCTAGGGTCCCGCCCCCGCCAGAAAATAGGAAAGGCTGTGTGCTTTACAGAAAATGCCAAAAGTTGAAGACAGTATACATGCTAATTCTTACGTTAGTTTTACTTTCAAACGAGACTTTGAGAGATAATTTGAATATATTTATTATGACGGACTTGGAGCTGTAGTGAGCAACTCCAGTGTTTAACCTTCAGCTGACCTATTAACAAAACCATTGGCCTGAGAATGTGTTTTTTGGGTCAAGGGGATGGTCATGAGTGAAACCATGACAAACCCGCACCAGAAAACATGTCCAATGTCACCAGCAATGGGTGAAATGACGGCATCAACCCTCAAAATTGGAAGTTCCTTATTGGGTTTACAACATTGAATGGTTAGAGTGTTAGCAACTGGTATAGATGTAGAAGAAACCAGCGACCACTGATTCTAAACAACGCCAAGGTGCATGGAAGATGGTTCCATCCACCGCTTTGGAGCGCATTCCACCATCGTTGCCACGGGTGGTTTCGGACGCGCCTATCAATCCTGCACATCCGCTCACACATGCACAGGCCGGCAGAAGGACTGCGGCAGGAACACTTAAAACACTTGAAGCTGGGGACGTGAGAAATGATGAGACATGAACAACAGAAGATGAAGTTCCCACCGGCAACGGGGAACGGAAGAAATCCATGTTTTCTGTTTCGGCAGTACCTCCAAGGCCTTAAATTTGGATAGTTTGGTGTGGTGATGTTTGTTTTCTGGGGGATAGTTACAGGATGTTACTGGTAAAAGCGCGTGATTCCAATCCCCCGCCTCATGTGAAATATGCCCCATGATGGGGTCAAAAGAGGGTTTCATTGAGAGTTGTCTTCGTTTCATCGGAGGTATGCCCTTCGATTTCCCCATTGAAATGCCCATTTCGTTTGGCACAATTTCCATGTTTGACCGATGAAAAATCCCCAATGGGATCCCAGCGACCACCAGCACCACCTCCCCACCTCTGCCGGAGGCGACGGCAGCGCCATGGCTTCGCGCGCCGGACTTCCCATGCAGGATCTGGAGTTTGTGCAGTTCCACCCCACAGGCCATTTGGGATGGATGTCAGCAGGCCAAACGGCAAGTGCGTATAGTCTGTGGTAAAACACTAGTAAAGCCAAGAATGAACCATCTTGACAGACAGTGGCTAGTGATGGGGAGAGAGAATAATGAACCATCTCCGGAATCCCCAATACTAGTAGAGGTTTATTGTTGGATAGACCGGCATACCCGTGTTTTGAATGATGATTTGTGAATGGGATGGTTTAGCATTGGGAATACCACATTAGCTTACGACCTGTTGAGAAGCCCTAAGTGCAAGGGGTCTCCTAGATAGCTTGGTTTGCCTTGCAACTAGGTACACTGAGGCTTACAATGGATAGACCTATACTTAGGTCAGGGATGATCATGGCATGAACTTTAGTAGTTATGAACCAACTTGTAACTTGGGGGCCCCTTCCTGTGGGACAGATGCAAACATATTTGCTATAGCCATATATAGCCCAGATGCTGGCCATTTAGCACATCTCATAAAACATGCAAATCTGATCAAATCTGGGGATGTGATGAAGATGGCTGAACTTGGATGAACTGCGTCCCCGTCAAAAAGCAAAGAATGACATGATAAATTCCACGAATGAGGTACAACCCGTGAAAAACAATTGTGGCACTCTAGGATCTTGGACGCTAACTGGTAGCCAATTTAACAAAAAGGTGCCCCGATGGGGAGTACGGTATACTATATCTATCTATCGATCTATCTATCTACCTATCCATCTATGTATCTATGGAGAGTAATCCATGCAGCCTATTGAAGGGATTGCCAACCTTGGGCGTCTCGTGATCCACAAACTGTTGACTTCAATATCGTCTTGAACAGAATCACAAGTCAACCGCAGGCCTCTACTGCGGTAAACCCCAGTGGAGAAAATGATAGTGTACTCAAAACTAATCATCAAAAGTAAAAAGGGGGAGAGAGAGATAGAGAGAGAGGGAGAGAGAGAGAGAGAGGTATATACATATATATATATATATACATAAATAAATAACAGGGTGTTTTTTATTCGTTTTACCGGTTTACTAGATGGGTCCATTTGAAAATAGTTTGCCTCCAATTCGGAATATTTTGGAATGGATTATTATCATTATCTCCGTTAAATTGCCATTTGAAGGGTCTCCGGGTAACCCCATAGTCCAATATTTCCCATACTCCAGAAATCATGGTTCAAAAAGGGATTTACACCTTTTGTAGTTACTAGTGGGATGGGAGTATACCCATTGATTAGTTGGTTACATCCTCGTGATTCATTATGATGTCAGTATTTTCCTCATCGAATCCACTATTTTGGATTGGAAATCCATTTTTTTCAGATGCACCCAGATCGAAGGATAGTGAGGCCAGCTAGGGTGCTATCACAAACCACCCTTTTAGTTTTAAACCACATGTAGTTGACAACGGCGCTGCAGGGCGCCTGGGTGTTTGTTTTGTTGTTTTTTTGCTGCGTTCAACGTAGCATGTGCATGATGATGTTACGTTGATGATGGGATGGGGTGGGGGTGGGGTGGGATGTTAACGTTCATGTACATGTTACGTTGGTGATGTTACGTTGTCAAACATCAGTGGAACACAAACAATCGATTCCGATTGGAAATCGTTGAGGTGTTGGCTTCCCAAGGAAGCTACCCAAAAAATGGGCACAGGAGACTTAGTCACTCACTCCTCGGAACTGGAGAAAAGGGTATGGCAGTGGATGTGGCGCAGAACAAACATGCACGGCAACAACTCAGAGAAATTGGCTGCGTTCCCATGTAGTTACATATCACAATTGGGTACCCTGAGGATTTAGATGCTTAATGTAGGTTACTGATTAGTGTGGGGAGGCCCCCCCCCCCCCAAACAAATTTGGGTAACAGAATAGTGTGGAAAAAACAAATTACCGGGTACAGAATAGTGTAAAATCAAAAAAAAATGATAGATTTAAATTGATTTCAATTTACTTTCAATTGATTTCAATTTACTTTCAATTGATTTCAATTTACTTTCAATTGATTTCAATTTATTTTCAATTGATTTCAATTTACTTTCAATTGATTTCAATTTACTTTCAATTGATATCAATTTACTTTCAATTGATTTCAATTTACTTTCAATTGATTTCAATTTACTTTCAATTGATTTCAATTTACTTTCAATTGATTTCAATTTACTTTCAATTGATTTCAATCTACTTTCAATTGATTTCAATCTACTTTCAATTGATTTCAATTTACTTTCAATTGATTTCAATTTACTTTCAATTGATTTCAATTTATTTTGAATTGATTTCAATTTACTTTCAATTGATTTCAATTTATTTTGAATTGATTTCAATTTACTTTCAATTGATTTCAATTTACTTTGAATTGATTTGAAGTTACTTTGAATTGATTTCAATTTACTTTCAATTGATTTCAATTTACTTTCAATTGATTTCAATTTACTTTCAATTGATTTCAATTTACTTTCAATTGATTTCAATTTACTTTCAATTGATTTCAATTTACTTTCAATTGATTTCAATTTAATTAATTACTTTCAATTGATTTCAATTTACTTTCAATTGATTTGAATTTACTTTCAATTGATTTCAATTTACTTTCAATTGATTTCAATTTACTTTCAATTGATTTGAATTTACTTTCAATTGATTTCAATTTACTTTCAATTGATTTCAATTTACTTTCAATTGATTTCAATTTAATTATTTACTTTCAATTGATTTCAATTTACTTTCAATTGATTTCAATTTATTTTGAATTGATTTCAATTTAATTAATTAATTACTTTCAATTGATTTCAATTTATTTTGAATTGATTTCAATTTACTTTCAATTGATTTCAATTTATTTTGAATTGATTTCAATTTACTTTCAATTGATTTGAATTAGATTTAAATTGATTTCAATTTACTTTGAATGGATTTCATTTATTTTGAATGATTTCCAATTTATTGGAATTGATTTCAATTTATTTGAATTTATTTCAATTTATTTTAATTGATTTCAATTTATTTTGAATTTGATTTCAATTTATTTTGAATTGATTGATTTCAATTCCTTTCAATTGATTTTAAATGCTTATTTGAATTGATTTTGTTTTTTTTTCAATTGATTTCAATTTACTCGCAATTGATTTCAATTTACTTGCAATTGATTTCAATGTTAAAAAACAAAATCACCTCAGGAAGCAGCTGGACACAATAGTGTACCCTCAAACAAACCATACTATTGTGTATCATGATCATTTATGTTTTTTTTGCTTGGCTGAAACTAATCCTTTGGAAAGCCTTTGTTTTTGAATCCAAGAAAAATGAAGCTAAGTAAAAGGAAACAAACTTTAGCAAAGGAAAAAGAAAAGGAAATGGTTGAAAAAAAACAATCACCTCAGGAAGCAGCTGGACACAATAGTGTACCCCCAAACAAACCACACTATTGTGTATCAGGGTTGCTCATGGACTACCCCCTTGAAAAATTGTTTGAGTCATGTTTTTTAATTGTGTTTTAATAAGGCATCATATATTTTGGGAAATTGTGCATTTCTGAGAATTCTAAATAAAAGAAACTAATTAATTGAGAAAATAAAAAAAGCTTTAGCAAAGGAAAATGTAAAGGAAATGTTAAAAAACAACATCACCTCAGGAAGCAGCTGGACACAATAGTGTACCCTCAAACAAACCATACTATTGTGTATCATGATCATTCATGTTTTTTTTGCTTGGCTGAAACTAATCCTTTGGAAAGCCTTTGGTTTTGATTCCAAGAAAAATGAAGCTAAGTAAAAGGAAACAAACTTTAGCAAAGGAAAAGGAAAAGGAAATGGTTGAAAAAAAAACAATCACCTCAGGAAGCAGCTGGACACAATAGTGTACCCCCAAACAAACCACACTATTGTGTATCAGGGTTGCTCATGGACTACCACCTTGAAAAATTGTTTGAGTCATGTTTTTTAATTGGGTTTTAATAAGGCATCATATATTTTGGGAAATTGTGCATTTCTGAGAATTCTAAATAAAAGAAACTAATTGAGAAAATAAAAAAAAGCTTTAGCAAAGGAAAATGCAAAGGGAATGTTAAAAAACAACATCACCTCAGGAAGCAGCTGGACACAATAGTGTACCCTCAAACAAACCATACTATTGTGTATCAGGATCATTCATGTTTTTTTTTGCTTGGCTAAAACTGATCCTTTGGAAAGCCTTTGGTTTTGATTCCAAGAAGGATGAAGCTAAGTAAAAGGAAACAAACTTTAGCAAAGGAAAAGGAAAAGGAAATTGTTGAAAAAAAAACAATCACCTCAGGAAGCAGCTGGGCACAATAGTGTACCCCCAAACAAACCACACTATTGTGTATCAGGGTTGCTCATGGACTACCCCCTTGAAAAATTGTTTGAGTCATGTTTTTAATTTGGGTTTTAATAAGGCATCATATATTTTGGGAAATTGTGCATTTCTGAGAATTCTAAATAAAAGAAACTAATTAATTGAGAAAATAAAAAAAGCTTTAGCAAAGGAAAATGTAAAGGAAATGTTAAAAAACAAAATCACCTCAGGAAGCAGCTGGACACAATAGTGTACCCTCAAACAAACCATACTATTGTGTATCATGATCATTCATGTTTTTTTTTGCTTGGCTGAAACTAATCCTTTGGAAAACCTTTGGTTTTGATTCCAAGAAAAATGAAGCTAAGTAAAAGGAAACAAATTTTAGCAAAGGAAAAGGAAAAGGAAGGTTAAAAAAAAAAACAATCACCTCAGGAAGCAGCTGGACACAATAGTGTACCCCCAAACAAACCACACTATTGTGTATCAGGGTTGCTCATGGACTACACCCTTGAAAAATTGTTTGAGTCATGTTTTTTAATTGGGTTTTAATAAGGCATCATATATTTTGGGAAATTGTGCATTTCTGAGAATTCTAAATAAAAGAAACTAATTAATTGAGAAAATAAAAAGCTTTAGCAAAGGAAAATGTAAAGGAAATGTTAAAAAACAAAATCACCTCAGGAAGCAGCTGGACACAATAGTGTACCCTCAAACAAACCATACTATTGTGTATCATGATCATTCATGTTTTTTTTTTGCTTGGCTGAAACTAATCCTTTGGAAAGCCTTTGGTTTTGATTCCAAGAAAAATGAAGCTAAGTAAAAGGAAACAAACTTTAGCAAAGGAAAAGGAAAAGGAAATTATTGAAAAAAAACAATCACCTCAGGAAGCAGCTGGACACAATAGTGTACCCCCAAACAAACCACACTATTGTGTATCAGGGTTGCTCATGGACTACCACCTTGAAAAATTGTTTGAGTCATGTTTTTTAATTGGGTTTTAATAAGGCATCATATATTTTGGGAAATTGTGCATTTCTGAGAATTCTAAATAAAAGAAACTAATTGAGAAAATAAAAAGCTTTAGCAAAGGAAAATGCAAAGGAAATGTTAAAAAACAACATCACCTCAGGAAGCAGCTGCACACAATAGTGTACCCCCAAACAAACCACACTATTGTGTATCAGGGTTGCTCATGGACTACCCCCTTGAAAAATTGTTTGAGTCATGTTTTTTAATTGGGTTTTAATAAGGCATCATATATTTTGGGAAATTGTGCATTTCTGAGAATTCTAAATAAAAGAAACTAATTGAGAAAATAAAAAAAAGCTTTAGCAAAGGAAAATACAAAGGGAATGTTAAAAAACAACATCACCTCAGGAAGCAGCTGGACACAATAGTGTACCCTCAAACAAACCATACTATTGTGTATCAGGATCATTCATGTTTTTTTTTTTGCTTGGCTAAAACTGATCCTTTGGAAAGCCTTTGGTTTTGATTCCAAGAAGGATGAAGCTAAGTAAAAGGAAACAAACTTTAGCAAAGGAAAAGGAAAAGGAAATTATTGAAAAAAAACATAACCTCAGGAAGCAGCTGGACACAATAGTGTACCCTCAAACAAACCATACTATTGTGTATCATGATCATTCATTTTTTTTTGCTTGGCTGAAACTCATCCTTTGGAAAGCCTTTGGTTTTGATTGCAATTGATTTCAATTCATTTTCAACTGATGTTCAATTGATTTCAAATGATTTCAAATTAATTTCGATTGATTTTCAATTTGTTTAATTAAATTGTTTTTCAATTGATTTTCACTTTACTTTGAATTGATTTCAACTTAATTTATTAATTAACAAAGGAATTGCTTTTCATTTGATTTCAATCCATTTTCATCTCACATGGGGTGATTTATTTCTTTGCTTGTGAAGGCTCAAGCCCATTCTAGCCAGCTTCTTTGCATCCCATCAGCTCAGCCATGGAGCAATTCAACACTGAGATGGACAAGCTCAGGAAGGAGTACAATTATCATCTTGTGGAATGGTTTTCCAACCTCAGGAATATCCTGACTCTGGAGAAATTCTCTTTGAGTCCTAAGGCTTGGATTTGTTTTTTTGTTTCCCAATGGGAAATCCATTAATGAATTAGTTAATGAGTTTTATTTTTGGGTGGTTCTTTAAGCAACTCCATGAAGGTGGTGGCTCTGACAGCTGAGATGGCTGACATCAAGGTGAAGCTCAGGTGCTCTCAGGAACAGTTTGTGGACATGCTGCAGAAGTACTACACTCAGCAGTTGGTTCAGCTTGAGGGTCCTGATGCTGTGCCTGATTGGGTGATGCTCAGTTTCAGGAATGAACTCAGTCAGATCTTCAAAGACTTCAAGGGTTACCCAAAGATCACTCAGGGGCAATGGATTAGGATTCTCAAGACAGCTCTTCAGGATGCTCAGGATGGTTGGCCATCAGAGTGTATCCCTCTTCCTCAGCCTGCCCAGCCTGCCCAACCTGCTAAGTCTGATACATTTGATGCTACCCTCAGCAAGTTTCAGGATATGGAAAAGGAGTTGAATGCACAGCCTGACCATGAGGTGATGGAGGTGGCTAAGGACTCTCAGGTCTTAGACTCTCAGCCTATGGGGAGTGATGATGAAGCACCATCAGGTACACCCTTTGGGTCCCAGGAGCTGGTTGATGATTCTCAGGTCCTAGACTCTCAGCCTATGAGCAGTGATGATTCAGCATCAGATCCATCCTCAGATGCTGAGCCCAAGTCCAAGAAGGCCAAGACTGAAGAGCCCTAGAGGACTGAAGGGTGTTTCTGGTGGTGTGGGATTAGTGCTCAGCTTGGACATAATCTTAGACTTTTGGCAATTTTGATTAATTAATTAATTAATTAATCAATTAATTAATTAATTAATTAGCATGCTTATGCATGTTTAAGTTTCTTATAATTGAGTAATTAGCTAATTAATTAACCAATGAAGTTGTAGCATGTTCATATTTGCGCATGTCTATGTGATTCCTCAGCTTTTTAAGGCTCAAATCTAAGGGCCAGGACTAATCAACCTTTGCTCCATATCATCTCAGCTATGTCTTTCTTTGACTATCATGGGAGAGGCTCAGGCAAACCTCATCCTATGTTTGAAGAGAAGCCTGATGAGGTGCCTGACAAGGTTTTGTGGACTCAGAAGGGTGGCCAAGGGCGCTACCAGCTTCAGCCCAATGATCCACCTCAGGAACCCTCATGCTTAGCACTCTTCAACAACATGGACTCAGAAAACATTGTGGAGTATCCTAGATACCTTTGGGAGCCTAAGGTTGACTGTGGCAATGGCCATCAAGTCTTCCTCAGCAGAATTCCCTGGCAATCAGGATGTAGAGAATGCTCTGTGCCTGGGTTGAACAAATGGATGATTTTTTTTGTTGTTGGTGTGTGTTTGTGTTTTTTAGCATAGGACAATGAGCATTAATTAACTGATATAGTTGTCATTTTTTCATGGACACCATTTGCAACCCTGCAGGAACACAATGGCTGGTCTCAGGAAGTGGTTCAAAGATATTACACTGAGGTGCTCAGAATGGACCCATTGCCTTGGGGTGCATTTGTAGCTCCTCAGTTCAGACAAGCTCAGTTCAAGCCTCCTGAGCCTGATCCACCAGCTGGATTCTCAGCAGCAACTGCTTCTTCATCAACAGGGAAGGGCTCAGGCAGACCCCATCAGCCCTTCAATGTGCTAGATGCTGCTTTATCAAATATGCAGAGAAGCTCAGTTTGGAAGCCTCAGCCTATCAGGACTGCCAATGATGCTCAGGGCTATGTCAAGTCTGAGCTCCAAAAGCTGAACATCAATGAGATTGACAAGCTCCTGGACAACTCAGAATCAGATCAGAAGCTCAGTGACTTGGACAATGTACCTGACCTGATTGAGGACATGAAGTCCAAGATTCTTCTACTTGAGCAGGCACTTGAATCTCAGGAGCTCACAATGCTTAGGCTCAGGAAATATGCTAAGAACATGGAAGAGGAGCAAGGTGAGCTCAGGGCTTTGCATGCTGAGCTTCAACTCTCAGTGAAAAGATCTCAGTCCTACTGGGAGCAGAAGCTGTCTCAGGATCTTGTGAATAAGGACGCTCTGAGAAAGTTCATGGAAACTCATCAAATGAGTGAACTAGATCTCAGGCAGCTGATGCAAAAGTCTCCTCAGATTGATCACAAGCCTCAGGACTCAGTGAAGGAAGTTGTGGATGTATAATTAACTCAGGTGTATGACTGCTGAGCAGATATATAGTCAATTAGAAGCCTTAGTCACTTCCTGAGTAATTATACCAGAGGCATTGTGAAGAATTTCTTAGCTGGCAGAAAAAAATGAGTGCAGCTCTGAAGTGATGTGGGTGGTTTTGCCACTGCTGCTGGTTGTTGTTGCAGTTTAGAATAATTAATTGATTAATTAATATTTTAATTAGTTAATTACTTAATTAACTAATTAATGAATCAATAATTAATCAATTATTTAGTTAATTAATTGATTACTTTAGCATAAGTAATGGGTAATGTTGGACATTAACATCACTGAGTTTAGTGTCAAATAATGGGTCTTTCAGTTTTGCTATCAGTTTCTTGTCCCTGACAGGACCTCAGCATTCTGCCTACCTCACTCCGCATTAAGGTCTTCAGCAAGCTTGAGTGATTTTCTTTTACATTGAGCTAAGCAAGGCTTAATGATTTTTGAATGTCTCAGCATGTGACTATCAGCAGGACACACTGGCAAAAGATGGCTGGGAAAGTGATGGGGTTGGGTAGAGTTGCAAGCACTAAGATAATTAATTAATTACTGAGATTGAACTTAGCAGCATGGACTAAGATTGAATTTAGCAGATGTGAATCAATTTAGATTTGATATTCTTTAAAATAATTACTTGGATGGATGATTGTTTTTTTCACCTCAGGAAGAAGCTGGACACAATAGTGTACCCTCAAACAAACCATACTATTGTGTATCAGGATCATTCATGTTTTTTTTGCTTGGCTGAAACTAATCCTTTGGAAAGCCTTTGGTTTTGATTCCAAGAAGGATGAAGCTAAGTAAAAGGAAACAAACTTTAGTAAAGGAAAAGGGAAAGGAAATGCTTGAAAAAAAAAATATATAACCTCAGGAAGCAGCTGGACACAATAGTGTACCCTCAAACAAACCATACTATTGTGTATCAGGGTTGCTCATGGACTACCCTCTTGAAAAATTGTTTGAGTCATGTTTTTTAATTGGGTTTTAATAAGGCATTATATATATATAGTTTGGGAAATTGAGCATTTCTGAGAATTCTAAATAAAAGAAACTAATTGAGAAAATAAAAGACATAAACTTTAGCAAAGGAAAATGTAAAGGGAATGTTAAAAAACAAAATCACCTCAGGAAGCAGCTGGACACAATAGTGTACCCTCAAACAAACCATACTATGGTGTATCATGATCATTCATGTTTTTTTTGCTTGGCTGAAACTAATTCTTTGGAAAGCCTTTGGTTTTGAATCCAAGAAAAATGAAGCTAAGTAAAAGGAAACAAACTTTAGCAAAGGAAAAAGAAAAGGTAATGGTTGAAAAAACAAAACAATCACCTCAGGAAGCAGCTGGACACAATAGTGTACCCCCAAACAAACCACACTATTGTGTATCAGGGTTGCTCATGGACTACCCTCTTGAAAAATTGTTTGAGTCATGTTTTTTAATTGGGTTTTAATAAGGCATCATATATTTTGAGAAATTGTGCATTTCTGAGAATTGTAAATAAAAGAAACTAATTGAGAAAATAAAAAATAATAGCAAAGGAAAAGGTAAAGAGAATGTTAAAAAAAAACACATCAGGAAGCAGCTGGACACAATAGTGTACCCCCAAACAAACCATACTATTTTGTATCATGATCATTCATGTTTTTTTTTGGTTGGCTGAAACTCATCCTTTGGAAAATCTTTACTTAGTTTTGATGTTATATACCAAAGCTTGTGAAGGCTCAGATCCAACTGTGTTGATTTTCTCAGCAATGGTGCTGCTGAAGAGCATGCTGGAATCACTCAGCACCATGAGATCACTTAGCTCCAGAGGACTGAAGGGTGTTTCTGGTGGGGTAGGATTGGTGCTCAGCTTGACCATGGCCTCAGACTTGTGGCAATCTTGATCAGTAATGCATGCTTATGCATGTGTAAGTTTCTTATAATTACTTGCACATGCATCATATTCAATAAGTATATATTTATTGATTCTATATATATAATTGTAATAAATGAATTAGTCAACTAGATATTTTGCTTGCATGGTGTTGAATTATGCATGTCTATGTGATTCCTCAGCTGCTTTGATCTCAGTGTGATTTCCACCAACTCAGCTGCACTTCTTGCAAGCCATGAGTTCAACTCAGCAGAATCACCCTTGGCAGCAGAAGACAGCTGCCCAAGGCTCAGGAAAAAAGGATGCTGAGGGCAGACATGGGCCCTGGGTATCTCAGCAACTCCTTAGCACTATTCCTGCTGGAATGGTGTATAGATCAGAGAATGGAAAGCATGCTCAGTTGGTGCAACCATGTGATCCTAAGAGACCTTACATCTCTGAGCTGTTCCAGAATCAGGATAAGGAGGTTATGGTCAAGTACCCCAGGTACTTGGATGAGCCTAAGGTTGCCTGTGGTTCCTGTGGAGCTGACATTTTTCTCAGCAGAATTCCTTGGCAGTCAGGATGTGGCAAATGCAGAGTTCCTGGGTGGACTTAGAATAATGTTATTCCCCACCTGCCAGGTGAGGGTTGTTAGATTTTATGTCAGTTGCCTCCTCCTCCTCCTCCTCCTTCTCCTCCTCCTCCTTCTCCTCCTCCTCCGCCTCCTCCTGCCTCGTCCTCCTCTCCTCCTCCTCCTCCTCCTCCTCGTCGTCCTCGTCGTCCTCGTCGTCCTCGTCGTCCTTGCTCAACTGCGACCCGCGATCCACAGTGTTCTCTGCCGGACCTCAACCACGACCATCCACGCCCAGTGTTCCCTGCCGGACCTCAACCACGACCATCCACGCCCAGTGTTCCCTGCCGGCCCTCAACCACGACCATCCTCGCCCAGTGTTCCCTGCCGGACCTCAACCACGACCATCCACGCCCAGTGTTCCCTGCCGGACCTCAACCGCGAGTATTCATGCCAAGTGTTCCCTGCCGGACCTCATGTAGGAAGATATGGGACAAAGAATGTGCAGAAGAAAGTTAGAAAGAATGTCAGAAAGAATGTCAGAAGATATGCCAGAAGATATGCCAGATAGAATGCCAGAAGATTTGCCAGATAGAATGCCAGAAAATATGCCAGAAGATATGCCAGATAGATATGTCAGAAGATATGCCAGATAGATATGTCAGAAGATATGCCAGAAGATATGCCAGAAGATATGCCAGAAGATATGTCAGAATATATGCCAGAAGATATGTCAGATAGAATGCCAGAAGATATGTCAGAATATATGCCAGAAGATATGCCAGATAGAATGCCAGAAGATATGTCAGATAGAGTGCCAGAAGATATGTCAGAATATATGCCAGAAGATATGCCAGATAGAATGCCAGAAGATATGTCAGATAGAGTGCCAGAAGATATGCCAGATAGAATGCCAGAAGATATGCCAGATCACATGCCAGAAGATATGCCAGATAGAATGTCAAATAGAATGTCAGGAGATATGTCAGATAGAATGCCAGAAGATTTGCCAGTAAGAAAATGTATAAATGTCATGGTGGGGATCACACGAAGTAAAGTAATTTTTGTTTACCTGTTTTTTGTTCCTGATTTTTATGTGCTTTGAACTAAAGTATTACTGCTAATTACAAGTACCTCAGTGACAGTTCAAAACTAAGTAAACAACATTAATCATATAATTAATTAATTAATCAATTAGCCAATTAATTAATTAATTGAGCAATTCGTTACTTGGTAACATCATGAATTAATTGATCAATTACAGTCTACTTTTTTTGTTTCATTCAAAGCAGCTTGCATTGAGGGCTCAGATGGATGGCCTCAGTGGGTGATCCAGTGGTACTACACCAGGATTCTCAGCATGGATCCATTGCCATGGTCTAAGTCAGTGAAGGCAGATTATGGTAAGGCTCAGTTCATGGAAGATCCTTCTGCTTCTAGGCCTTCATCTTCTCAGCGTCCTCCTGAGCCTCTAGGCACACCAGTGATGCCTAAGGCAAGGCCAGCTGATCCACCTCAGGCCAGTGAGTGTCATAGTGGTGAAGCATACTACTTCAGCCAGCTCCAGCAGATGGATCCTGGGGGTAGGTGCTCAGCAATGGCTCTGCTTCTCTCAGATGCTTCCATGAATGAGCAACCTCTGGAGGACCTGTTAGTTCACATGGATGAGCTCCAAGAATGCATAGAATTGATGGAACAAGCTCAGAAAATGCAGGAAAGGACTGTGGCCAGACTGAAGACTGATCTCAGCTTGATGGAAGATGTGTCTCAGGAGATTTCAAACAGCATCATTGCTTTCCAAGGAACCCATGAGAACATGCTTTTAATGAAAGAGGCAGTACTAGCTGAGGAGGAGGCTCAGCAGGAGGCTGAAAAAGCTGAGAGGGAGGCTCAGGAGGCTCAGGATGCTTTCATGACTCAGAAACTTGAAGATTTCATAGAGAAGTACCAGATCCCAAGGGACAGGGCTGTCTATTTGCTCAGTCCTCCAGCTAAGAAACAAAAATCTCAGAATGATGAGGATAAGTAGCTGCCTCAGGCAGATGGAACATCACTGAGTGAAATCTCAGTGTCCTTTTTAAATTTGCTTTCAGAAGCAATCCATACAGCTTGAATGAAGGAAAAAGGTGTGCAGATCTGAAGGGATGTGGAGGCTTCTTCTGCAGGTTAATTGTTGGAATTATTTGATTGCATAATTAATTAGTCAATTTGTTTAACACATATTGATTGGTAGTTACTTATTTATCTGATTAATTATTCAATGAACACTATACACTGAGATTAGTGTCAAATAGTTGTATGCTTTGCTCTCAGCTTTTTGTCCCTGACAGGACATCAGCATCCTGAGAAAGTGGAGTACCTGGTGACTACATCATCCTTCTTAGTTGTGAGCATCTTCAGTGCTGAGGAGAAGGAGAAGCCAAGGCACTGAGGTTCTACTTCATAGTGAGACTCGCTATGAAGTAGAACCTCAGACTGTGAGCTACATCATCTTCTACCTCAGCTAGCTTCTCAGTTGTTTCCAACTTTGTCCTGAGCA